CTTGTTTGAAGACTACACAGTTTCATATAATATACACACTCATAATATTTTCAGATCCTTTTTGTCTTGATCTTGATTTCAGGTTAGTGTATTTTATTTTGTCTCTTTTCATGCTTTGAGAATAAAGTATTATAACTGTCATATCTTTATTTCGGAATGGACTCATTATCCATGTTTTAAATATGATATTTGGTTTTTATTTTAGGTCTCTATCAGGACTATTGAAAACTCTCTTTGTTTGGTGACACCACCAAAAGAAAAACACAATAAAAGAGGGGTCTTCAACAAGCCCCTTTTATTTTCTACTCAAGCTCATGTTAAAAATAACCTAACATTATGCACAGTAATTACACATCTACTTGTTAATAAGTTTCCCACCTTTATTATTTGTCAACAATCTGAAGCTTCTAACTTAAAAGTTTAGTCAAGGTCAAGATCCATGAGCACAGCCTGGTCACTACTCTGAAGGAGGAAGGTACCTGATCTCCCTCTTTTAACCTGGGTGATTGATAGTGATGAGATCCAATTACAACTTTTTTTAAAATCCCTCATTTGAGACACTGAGAAGCAGGCTCGTCCTATTCTCTTACAGAAATATTACAATACAACATGCATACATAATTTTCCAGAGCAACAAAGATTAGATCTTTGTAGAACAATGCACACTTCCTCTTCCTGCCCTTGTGGTAACAGGTCTGAGTACTCTCTTGAGATGGAAGACAGCTTTATAAGGCCACATTCTTGTTCTAAGAGTGTCAGTTTATCAGCCCTGTCTCCTTCCAGGTATAATAAGAAATGTCTCTTGGTAGCTGTCCAGAAAACTCTTGGCATAAGAAAAGGATCATCCAAGAGTCAGGTGTAATATAATATCCAAGGATCTGATATTAATATTAAAATTCCTTTTCTGTTGTTCACATTTGCCTCCACCAGTAGTTCTCAAACCCTGACTGCAATTTGGGGTCACCTGGGGAACTTTTTAAAATCGGTGATGCCCTGAGCCCAGTCCACCAATTAAATAGGAATATTTAAGACTTGTATTGATAAATTACAACACTCTTCTAATGTAAAGCCTGAGCTATCTTGGCCTATTCCTTTACTTTTGAGTGTTCAGAGTCACTGTCTCTTAGCTGTGTGTTTTGTCCCAAAGAGAGGGTTATATGGTGTTACTAGGAGATTAACCTGTATACATTTATTGTCATAAATGATGTTTTATCTTTTTTAAAGCATCTTATGTTACAACCCCCCTACCGCATGCTTCCTTGTTGTTTCCTTTGAATTTCTTTTTTCCTCCCTAAACTGACTGCTTTGCTTTTTCCCCTTTGGTAATTTTGAAGATAAGCTATTTCATATTCTATTACTAATTACACCTAACATCTTTAAAAGCATGCTCCAACCTATATTTCTCTAATTAACTACAGAAACTACAAAACAGGATTTCTCGCAAGACGAGCAAATTAGCATATCTCCTTGCTCCAACTTTACTCTTTGTGTCAGTATAATCTGGAATATTCTACCCTGAGGTTAGGCAGGAATAATGTCTTATATTTTCTGTTTCAAGGAATATTTGTTACAGTTGCATTTCATTTTATAACTATGTTTACAGAAATTATTTAAATTCATCACCATATTGCTTTATTTGCTCATTGTCAGTCTTTGTTTATGCTTTTTGTTAACCACAACTTTATCCTACTTGAGTTTGTTGTTTAAATTCATCTCTAGGTTGGATAGGAGACGTCTTTGAGTGGATGTAAATAGGACTTTTTTGAGGCCTTTGATATTTAAGAGCAGCTTTCTGTTGCCTCTGCTGTTTAACAGCTTGGCTCATTCATACCCTTTTCCACTGTAAATTATTCCGGGGCACATCTGTACTATGTCTAAGATAAATACATGAAGGATTACAGCACAGTATTTTTCTGTTTTCCAGAGTTGACACAGGTATCCATCTATTAATATTTTTACAGACTTTGGTCAATCTGTTGGTTGAGGTTTGGAGTGGGATGGGGTTATGAGGCCACATGTTCATGTCACCTTCTTTCAGAATGGTTTCAACCATTAGGTACTCATTGATTCATTCAGCAAATATTGGTTGAGCACCCACGATGTGCCAGGCATTGTGGGAGCCACTAGGGAGTCAGCAGAATCAGATGAGATTTCTGCTCTCATGAAAGGTCTGTGTATGCGTTGGGGAGAGGGAGGGACTGATCATCAACAGCTAAACATGTAAACAAGATAATTTTAGAGAATGATAAGCAGAGCTATCATATATAGCTGCTCAAATTCCAAAATGGTGCCCCTGGAGCTTTGCAACATGACAATCCTGGTAAAAACGTTCTAGAGAAAAAATAATACACTGATAAAGTGATGGAGAGGGGGAGAGGGGCTCAGGCCTTATTAATTAAATACTCCTCTGCAGCGAATTTATTTGCTCACATACTCACAGTACCCCTGACCATCTTCCCTCTGAAACTGTAGCACCTTTCTTTGTCTTCATCTGCCTTGGACTTGCTCAGCAGGCCCTGTGATTTGCCCCCTCTGTCTTCAAGGTCTTTGCCTTTCGGTTTTGATCCCTCATTATTTGCATTATGTTCCCAACTGAACTCCCACAAAGCTGGAGATAAGATGGCTGTGTGGCGGCATCCATGTCCAGCCTAGAGACCCCCAATTCAGTGCTAATGTAATATTTCAAGTTGACAGATGAATCTTCAGCAGATTCGAGGAACACCTTCTAAGACTCCACAGTCACATAGGCCCAGTGGGAAGTGTTATTATCATACTGAGAGACAGCACTGGGGAGTTAGTAAGAACTTGGTCTCTAGAATCAGGCTCATTGATTTGGCCTTGGCGCTACCATTTACTGGTCCTGCATTACTTAACCTCTGTGTGCCTCAGTGTCTTCATCTTTAAATGGGGTTAATAACAATACCTACCTCGTAGCGTTATAGTGACAGTTACATTGATTAATTGATGAAAGTGCTTAGAATGGTGTCTACTCTTAGTAAACCCTCAATAATCTATAATAATAATTGCCATTAACTAGATCTTGCGTTACCTAAAAGCTTTTTCATGTCCTTCTCTCCCCTTGGCTCGAATTCTTTCTATACTTAAAATATACGTGGATTACAGGGATGAGACTGAATGTGTCTTAGGAACTAGGCTTACTTTGCTGAATTGCATACGAGGGCTTTTACAGCTGCAGACTGGAAAAGAAATACTTCATGCAGAAAAAAAAGGGGGAGCTGGGCAGAGTCAGGGAGAATCAGGACTAAACTCATCACAAGGAGTCACCAATTTTTTTGTTTGATGTTTTTTTCCCCCTTTGGCAAACATGATTTTATTATTTTTCATCTTAGCATCATTACATTTAGTAAGTCTAATATTTTACTCACTTACATATCAATTTAATTAACACCAAACATCTATATAAGTGTTATAAATGGACTTAAATGTTTATCCATATATGGAATTACCTTCTTCTTACTTGTATATATTAAAAGATGTTTAGAATGAACCTACAGCATTTTTGCAATCAGCAAAATTAAATGTTGTTTCATTTTGAATGCCTATGACCCTGATACAGTTTTTATTTGGGGACTCATGTCCAGTCTTTATCCATATATAAACAAATATTTAATAGCTATAATCAAAAGCATGCATATAATTTTATGATCTACTGTGATATTTAAAATTATGTTTAACATTCTTTCTACAGGGTCATATTTATCACTTTAATGATTGCACTCAAACTGCATCACATTGAAGGCTATAATTTACCTCACATTATTGGGCTGACATATAGTTTGTTCGCATTTTTCCTCTATAATAAAATTATGTCATTGTAAACATCTTTGGCTAGGTTGCTCTTTTTCTTTTGAATTAATTCCTAGAGATTACTGAGTCAGTCTTTGAGTAGTTTTGTGGCTCTGGTTAAGAACTTATATACTCCCTTCAAAAAGGATCATATCAGTTTTGCTCTGCAATTGGCAGTAAATGCATGTATGAGATTCCATGAAGCCTCAACAATACTGGATTGTATATTTTTTCTATTGAAATGGACTGTGTTGTCATATTAATTCTATTTTCTTTCATATGAATCCTCTAAGCACTCTCTTTACTCATCTTGGTGATGTTCTTAGATAAAGATTCTAATTCAATATTGATATTTTTTCCTGTGCGATAGGCATTGCAATTTTTTTCCATTTTATTATTTTCTTTTATAATTTTGTGTTAGTATTTGTTTGTTTTCTCATTTATAGCACTTTCTTTGCCTATTCTTATTCCAGGGTCTGCTAGTAGTTGGCATGAAAATGGCTTAAAATAAGGGTTTTTAGAAGGGTGGACCCTTAGGGTGAAATAGGGGAGAGAGAACAGGACGTGGATGGGGATCATAATGGACGCTGTCACCTCCCTCCCCCAGTTTCTTCAGAAGCTTTGATCTCTGAAAGATGGTGCTCCTGGCATCTCTTCAGCATAGTGTGGTATCTTGGGGTTGTCAGAATCCCATGGCACACCTATCATTTTCCCATCAAAAATGTTTGAAGGAGACAAATGGTCCTGGACTGTCTCTACCCGGTTACCGCCTGGAAAATTAGCATCGCTGTGTCATTAAGCAGTGTCCTTTCCTTCTGCTGCAAACCCAGCTGAAAGAGGTCAGGGACTGTGACTCTACACTTAGGCTTGAGTTACGGCTTTGTCCCACCCAAGGGACCCAAAGCACGAGGACACTGCCTAGGTGAGCGTGCTGACCAGGGGAGAGGGGCCAAGAGAAGACCAGTTCTGCCATGTCTGCCTTTTGCCAAAGGGGCCCTGTCCATTGCTAAGTCCAGCATGGAGCCCAGCATGTCTCCTCGCCTGGAGCTCAGAGCCCAGCCAGTCCAGCCCAACCCTTGTGCCACTCTTTCTTTCTATTGCTTTTTAGACTAAGATGTTCCCCCTGCCAGCCCTCAGTGGCTTAGGCAGAATGTTGGGGACTCTTAGTGACCTCCACTGCTCTTCTCTTGCAGTCTCCTGCTTCTTCAACTTCACCAGCCCATCTGGGATTGTCCTGTCTCCCAACTACCCAGAAGACTACGGCAACCACCTCCACTGCGTCTGGCTCATCCTGGCCAGGCCTGAGAGCCGCATCCACCTGGCCTTCAACGACATTGACGTGGAGCCTCAGTTTGATTTCCTGGTCATCAAGGATGGGGCCACCGCCGAGGCACCCGTCCTGGGCACCTTCTCAGGAAACCAGCTTCCCTCCTCCATCACAAGCAGTGGCCACGTGGCCCGTCTCGAGTTCCAGACTGACCACTCCACAGGGAAGAGGGGCTTCAACATCACCTTTACCAGTGAGTCCTCCCTCTGTCACCAGCTGGCCCTCCCTCTGAATGTCTGCCTCCGAAGATGATTGAAGGTGTTCCCATGGAGGGAGGAGGGGATGTGGATGGGGTAGTTCCCAGAGCATTGCAGGGCTGCAGTGCCCAGGCATGGAGCTCCCAGCATGACCAAGAAAGGGCATAAAGCACTGGCTGCCAGGCAGGGTGCTCTTTTCTGAAAGCCCCTCTCTGAAGGGCATTTATCTCCCATAGTTGTGATATATAATGTAAAAGGAGCCTGGAACCTCATTTTTGCCCCAACCTTCCCCATCCTACAAGACCCAGCCAGAACTAGGGAGAGTCCAAGAGAAAGAAAGCCTCTATCATTCTCATTCGTTCCTGATGCCCTCTCTGAGGTGCTCTCCCAAAACCCTGAATGCCCGCCTGCTGCTGACCTCTGCGTTCCTGGCAGGGCTGCTCACTTTGCTTTGCCCAGTTCCCATTCCCATAGTCAAATCAGAATCACAGCTTTGGAGCAACACTTCTGTTGGACTCCCAGACTTATTGGGGATAACTCTTAGGGACTTTCCTCATAGCCCCTCTCAGGGCCATCATCTGAAAGTTACCACCTCCAGTTTCAATCCTGGGCCCCTTCCCTAGAAGCAACCTAAACTCTGCAGTGATTATTTTTATTTCTGTATCTCGTGGTTACAGAGGGGGTTGGGGGGGGGTTCAGAAGCTTGGAGACTAGAAATAGCAAGCCACCAAAGATAGCAAGAAGTGGTTATCAGGTCATAAGAAGCTATAAATCCAATGGACTTGGCTGATGACAGTCAAGTGTGGCTGGAGGTGGGTCCATCTGAGCAATTAACTAGATCCTTTCCCAGAGGCTGCTTATGAAGGGCAAGTCCCCAGTGCAAGCTGTGCCCCATGCCCACAAACACATACTGATCTCCCAACCCCCATTCCCACCCTTGGCATAAAGGCCTTGCCTCTGTTTTCCACCTATCTCTGGAGTCCAGTTGGAATGAAGACATTAGGTGCTACCTGGTGGGCCATTTGGGATCCGCAGCCAGGTAAAGCCCATTCCATTCCCCTCACCACTCTTCTTTAGGACACAATGAACCTTCTCAGGGCATGTCTCCTCCAGGGGATTCCTGTTTCATCCCCTGTGGGCAGGAAGAAGCAGGGTGAGAGCCTAGTTCTGTCTTTCCTAACCTTCCTAGTCTAGCACTGACCATGCTGCTTCATACTAGAAAGGGGCGAGGATGCATTCCTTATCTTTATATCCCTCGCCCCAGCTCAGGGCCTGGTGTGTGCTAAGGATCAGCAAATGTTTACAGAATGGAGGGATCCATGAATGAGTAAATGCTTTTTCTTGCCCTGGCGGAGTGAGAAGAACAGGGATAAGAGGTATCCTGGGGAGCACACGTATCCAGGATGGTGAGGGCCGAGAACTCTAGGTTTGCAGCAGGTGTGGAAACTGAGCGGGAACTTGGGAGAGGAGGCAGCTGGTGGCCCAGGGGCTGAGCTTCATCTTGAGAGCAGCAGACTAATCTGAGGATAGGTCTTACTCATATTTCTTTCCAAGGTTTCTCTACCATTGTAAAAATGATACATACCCAATATGTAAATATTCAAAAAATGGGACAGGTCAAAGAAGAGATGTTAACCACCACCCAAAACCCCCCTAGCCAGAAATGATCCTTGCTAACAATTGATGGATGCTATTACAGATATCAGATAGTTTTCATGCATTTATACAAATAGACAGTTGGACGGATTGATAGAAATGATTTTTAAGAATCTGGGTCGCATCCTAGACCTGCTGAATTAGAATCACTAAAGGAATGGGGCCCCAGAATCTACATTTTTGGTAGGCTTCTGAGGCAATCTGGATGCAGTCAGTGAAACAATCATCTATGGCCAAGTGTCAGGGAATTAGTGTAGTCTCTCCCACAGGACTTTAATCTCCTCCTACATCCTGACTGATGATCACTGAGGCTGAACTTGAATTTGCCCAGTGTCAGGGAGCTTGCCGCCTCAGACAGCTCTCTCCATCGCTAGCAGGCACATCTGTGTCCCTGTAACAAGGATCAGTGATCCTACCTCCACCCCTAGAACTCCTGGGAACAAGGCTAATTCTTCTTCCACATGGAACATGATGAACAACGATGACAGTAGCTGCCATTTATTGAGCACCTACTATGGGCTGAACCTGGTGCTGAGCACTCAGCAGTCATCACTGGAAGCCTCACAGCAAAAGCTCCATAAAGCAAGATCTACCCCTTTCACATGCCAGAAAACTGAGGTCTGGAAAGGAACACAGGGAGAAGTGGGTCCTTGACTCAGAGCTTTTGCTCCCAGATATTGGAAATAGCTCCATATTCCTGCTTTGTGCATTTATGTGTGTATGTGTGTACGTGCGTGTGTGTGTTCATATGTGGGTGTGTGTATCTGTGCCTGCATGTGTATGACTGATGGTTTTGAAAGAAAAATGCCTGGACTTCTAGGCCCCAGGCATCACTTTTTTTTTCCCACGCCATATTTCTAAATGTCAGGGTGACTTCATGGTCATAGTTTTCAACAAAGAAAGGTTGGGAGACTCAAGTCTGGGCTGACCTAGGCGTTCAAATGGAAGGGTATTGGGCACTTAGCTGAAGGCCTGCATGGGATCATCACAGTCATTTCCACATCAGAGACTCCATCTGCAATGGGAAGGGTCAGGTTTGCAGGCTTCTTGCCTCTAGCAAGATCCAACAGTCTCCAGGGTCACTGCTGTTTCTGAATGTGCAAGTGTTTCTATCACTAGGGAATTTCAGAGGCCTAGAAATTTTTTTCAAGTGGCCTATACCCATGCAGCCTTAGATCCTGGTCTCCACTGGAAAGTTGCCATCCTCAGAACAATAGGGGTGCAAATAGAGCCTGGCTTCAGAGACATTTAGTGAGAGAACTGTGGCACCGCTGCTGGAGGAAGACAGGGATCGTGCTTGGTAGAGACCGAGCAGGAAAGAGTATCTTCCCATGCAGAGGAGGGAAGAAGGAAGGGAACTCATCTTCAATTAGCACTTACAATCTGTCACGTGCTGCACCAAACACTCGCCACTCTCATATTCACATCAACTTTCATTTTATTTCTATCTCAGAATGACCCTGCAGGTGAAGGATGGTCTCCATATTATCAGTCAGGAAACTAAGGCTCATCAGGATTGCATAAGTTGTCCAGGACCATGTAACGAATAAGAGGCAAAGCACGATTAAATCTGCAGCGTTCTGACTCTGTCCTCTCTCCACTCTTTGCATTATCAATTGCCTGGGTAGAGTAAGAGGCAGCCCTGTCAATAGGCAAGGAAATAAAGGAAATAGCTTCAGACAGGATTAATTCTAGGGCACCTCCTTTATGATGCTTAGAGTCTATTAGCATCACAGGATTGAGAGTCCGGCTCACCTCAGGCAGAAATGATCCCATAACTGTCTGAAGTTAGGGAAATGTGGAATGGATTTGACATTGAGGAGACAGATCAGCTCATTAACCACACTGAGCCTCAGTTTCTTCATTTGTAAAGTAGGGTAACAAGATCCACTTCATAGAATCATTATATGGTGTAAGTGAGCTAACAGCAGAAACACTTAGCTTACTGCCTGATCTATAAATGTCTATTAGAATGCAGTGGTGGGATTAGGTGTTCGGGAAGGCAGGAAATCAAGTTTAATGAGCACCTGCTTGATGACCAGGTCCTAGGATGTCTAGCTCTCCAATGTGGCAAGTTCTTGGGGAGGTGGTGGAGTTCTAGGGTTTACCATCCCAAGGAAGCTTGTTTTCTTTGAGGATTCTTCTCTACTCCAGCAGTGTCTGATCTTGTCCTTGAACTCCATCTACACAGCCTTCCGACACAATGAGTGCCCGGATCCTGGCGTTCCAGTAAATGGCAAACGGTTTGGGGACAGCCTCCAGCTGGGCAGCTCCATCTCCTTCCTCTGTGATGAAGGCTTCCTTGGGACTCAGGGCTCAGAGACCATCACCTGTGTCCTGAAGGAGGGCAGTGTGGTCTGGAACAGCGCTGTGCTGCGGTGTGAAGGTATGTGCCTGCAGGCTGGGGGCAGCAGCTGTTGTCAGCCAGAGAGGCTGGGGAGGGGGAGCAAGAAGCCCAGGCCGTGGTGGTTCCTTCCTTTATTTGTCCTTGCTCTTCTCCTGGGACTGAGGGCCACTCTCTCACCCTCACGATGGAATAGCAGGGGCTTCATAAGGACACTGTGCACAGGAATTTAAATTATAAACAGAGGTTAGAGAAAGAGCTCTGGACGTCAGGCATCAAAAGCACCTCTTCTTTCAAATGAGAACTCTCTCAATATCACGGCCGTTAAGAGCCCTGTTTCCAGCTCCTGCCCAGGGGAGCTCCAGCAGCCCGAAGTAGCATTGGCGGTACTGCGAGTTTTCGGGTCTTTCAAGGTGCCTACCACTCTTCCCCTCTCCACATGTTAACTTTCCCCAATTCCCTGGGATATCTCCCAGTCTTGGCCTTTGTGCCCTGTTAAATGCTGACTTGATATCCTCGTGGTCAATCTCCAGGAGACTCAGGGCCAACCAGCCAGAAGAAACATAGCTTGCAGCAAGCACACGGCTTATGATGGCAGCTCCTCAGTCCTGCCTCGCCACACAAGACAGTTTTTGACTCAATTTGCAAGACCAGCCATCTGTTCCACCAAACTACAAACATTTAAAATACAGATAAAGCTTCTTGAGACAGGAGTCAGGTTAAATTTATGTACCAAGCATGGTGTACCAAGCATTTGTGCACCAGGCAAATTTGTGTGCCAAGCATTGTGTACCAACCATGGTGGCTGGCACAGAATAGGTACTTAATAAATATTTGTGAATAATGGATGAATAGTGAGTATCCCAAGGGCCCCTTGGGGAAACTGACAGTGTCCAAGGAGACGAAGGATGTGATTCTCTCCTTTTAGGAGGCAGAAACCTTCGTCCTCACATTTCATGTAATAGAAAGAGGATAGAGACTTAAGAGACCTCTTGGCTTACCCAATTCCTAAACTCAAATCTGGGCATCGTGGCTATGAACAGGAAGGACAGGAGAATGCAGAAGGGAGTATGCCTGAGAGAGAGTATTACCCAGAGCTTACAGATGGGTGGGTGGGAGACGAAGGACCACCGAGAACACTGGAGGCGGCAAGGGGTCCAGGTGGGCATTTGAGTGAGAGGGGCCCAGGCTGGGATCCTGGCAATTCACTTTTCCCCCTTGAGCCTTTGCATATTCCAGCTGGAAAAAAAAGAGGGATAATGATAATTATCAGATGTGTATGAAGTAGGCAGTCCTGGTATAAAGTAAGTCCTCATAAGCTGCGCCCTCACTGTCATGTGCACTCCATGAGGTTAGGGAGTCTTCCTCGGCCTCATATTCCCACAGCTGGCGTGTTGTTTGACACTTGGTAGATGCTCAATCAGTACTGGTTGACGAATCACCGAATGAATGAATGAATGAATGGCCTTTTAACTAGGCTAGAGCCTCCCTAATGGGAAGCATATAAATGAAATGCCTCCAGAGCCCCAACTCTCACCAGACTGCCTGCTGTCTCCACCCTGCAACATATCATCCAAGCCACCCTGGGGAAGTGACTTAACCTCTCTGTGCCTCAGTTGCCCCACTGTAAAATGCAGGTTGATAATGGGAACCCCCTTGCAGAGTTGTCTTGAGCATGCGCAGTTCTTGGAGCAGTGCCTGGTGAGAGGTAGCACTCAATAAGTGTTGACGATCAGCATTAACTTGATTTTAACTATTTCTTCATTGGACCAATCAGATCAGTATTTGCTCCACTTTGGGGGATCAAGTGGTGCATTTCCATCCTCCCAGGAACTTGCCCCAACCGTGACATGAATAGACATTTCTTTCTGACTTCCAAGCTTCCCACAGTGTGGTCTATACAACCTCATCTGCCATTCTTCCCCAGTGCAATCAGCACTTTTGGAAAGAACAGAAGCTGTGGAGTTAGAGAAACAACACGAAACTCAGTTGCCATGCTTCCCAGCTGTAGAACTAACAGGCTTAGGTTAAGTAACTAGGCCTAGACCTCAGGTTCCTCATTGGCAACAGGTCACTGTACAAAGCATCCATGCAGAACCCAGTCTGGAGGGTTGTCAGTCGGTGGTCTTTCACCTTCCTACAGACCAGCCCCCTCATTTTCCCTCGCACTCATTGACCACTTATAATTTCTTTAGTTTTCATTGTGTTGGTTCATCTCTCTGAGATCTTCCCTGCTGTCTCTGGCTCACCTGATCTCTTCCTTCTCCTAATTTCTATTATTTTTCATGGGCCACCACCACTGGACCACTCTGTTGGATACTGGTTCTTACCATTATTACATTTACCAGTTCCACAGGCCTTGGTTCTGTCTCCCCACCAAGATTGTGAGCAGTCTCAGGGCAGAAGGCCAGATTCCCATTGCCCCTGAACCTGCAGGGACTTAGTCCCAAATGAGTTGACCCCTCTGAGGAACCCTCAGGACTTAGTAACTGCACAATCCTCCTCTCCACCCCCCACCCTCCTGAATCAAGTGCTCCTAGACTTTAGCTCTGCGATGCATTGAAACTCTCAAGACCGTGTATGAACACGTGAGATAATTTGACCTTTGTTAATGTATCTTCAAGTGGCTCAGTATTTCATAAGCAAGGTCTTCATTTTAAAGTTAAAAAGGTCTTGTTCATTCTGTCCCTGGAGGGGGAAAGGCTGTAGGGTTGGGGCAGTAGACCCCAGAAGTAAGGGACAGTCTATTGGAGACCCTGACCCCAGGGAGAGCCTGCTCAGTTTTCTCAGAGTGATGGGCATTTGATGCCAGCATGGTTTTCAGGGATCTGGGGAGTAGCACGTCAGCCAGAGTGTGACAGCCTGATGCCACTTAGGGTGACTGAATCCCAGCCTTAAAACCTTAGACAAACTGGCTAAAGAAGCCCCTGGGAACCTTTCCCTTCTTGGCTCCTCTCCCTCCTTTTGTCTGAGCCTTGGTAGAGCTCTGCTTTGTAATCAGCATCTTTGTCTTTTCTGTTTTTTTCTAGTTTTGTTTTTGATTAAGTATCCCCACCTTGTGGACAATTAAATGCAGAAGCTAATGGTCTTTTAGAAAATCTTTTAATATATGCTAAGAGCCACTTAGCTTTTGAGAGGCTATAATAGGACAAGAGAGATGATGGCTTCTCCTAAATTTAGAAAGAAGGATGATTATCTGGAGGATCTAAAGCAGGGGTCGGCAAACTTTTTCTTAAAGGGCCAGATAGGAAGTATTTTCGACTGTGTGGGCTCTAACTCTGCTGTCCTAATGCAACAGCAGCCTTAGACAATACAGAAGCGAACAGGCTGGAGTGACCAAGTCTGTGATCTTGAGTTCACAGGACATAGGAGTCCCTTATGTTTAAAATCAGAAATTTCCCAAGAAAGACTTCTGGGTAGTGAAGGCAGCTACACCGGAGTACCTGCCTGCCTTTCTCTCCCCTACACTTGACTCTTCCTTGACTCTTTTAAGGAAAAATAATCAGACCCCACTAGGATAAGTGTCTGACAGAGTCGCCTCATTTCAACCTTGCACCAGTCTAGGAAATAGATGTCGTTATTGTCCCTCCTGGGGCACAGAGAGGTTAAGTCACCTGCCTAGGATCTGCCCAGCTTGTAAGTGACGGAGCCAGAATTCAAATCCAGACTCTTGGCTACCCTGTTACTGTATTTTTCTTGAATTATATCACTGCAGAGAATATGGTTTCCAACACATCTGTGAAAGACTTAAAAGCATCTCCAAATAGAATGAAAAGCAGGATTTCTACTTTCCACATCCCCATAGAAAATTAAAAGGAAACATATTGCCTAATGCATGAGACAAAGAAGACAGGACATCACATGGAAATGTCGGAAATTGACAGCATGAAACAAAATGACAGCAGTAAGACAAACATATCAGTTATGATAATAAAGGTAATTAAACTCCCTATTAAAAGACAAAGAGCTGAGCTTTAAGAATATTCTGCTTACAAGAAATACACACAAAAAAAGATAAATTATCTACAGTGAGCGTGCATTTTCTTCTTTATTTTATTTATTTATTTATTTATTTATTTTGAGATGGAGTCTTGCTCTGTCGTCCAGGCTGGAGTGCAGTGGCGTGATCTCAGCTCACTGCAGCCTCCACCTCCTGCGTTCAAGTGATTCTCCTACCTCAGCCTCCTGAGTAGCTGGGACTACAGGTGTATGCCACCATGCCCGGCTAATTTTTATATTCTTAATAGAGATGGGGTTTCGCTATGTTGGCCAGACTGGTCTCAAACTCCTGACCTCATGATTTGCCAGCCTCGGCCTCCCAAAGGGTGGGTATTACAGGCCTGAGCCACCACACCTGGCCCCTGTATTTTCGTTTTTTAATTTTTAAAGAAATACTTGGAGGATTGCTTGAGCCTGGGAATTAGAGGCTGCAGTGGGCTATGACTGTACCACTGCACTCCAGCCTGGGCGACAGAGCTAGACTCTGTCAAATAAATAAATAAAGGAATACTTGTTGGTTGTAAAAATTTCAAATGATGCACAAGTGCAATACAGCTCAAAGTAAAAATGCTCACTTCCCAATCCCACTCCCCAGAGGAAAATGGTTTAACAGTTTGGTATAAACACATCCACATTTATTCTCTATCTATACCAAATGTGTTACTTTTAAAATCAGGAAAAAAGCAAGTCCTGTAATAAAGAAAGAAGGTCAGTTCTCCTCATGACCACAAAGAAATCTAAGTGGTGGTGGTAGCTCATTTAGGCATCTAAGGAAGAACTGTAAGGGCAATTATTGGGTTTCTAGCAATCTCTCATTTAATCTTCATGCCACTCTTGTCAGAAAGATGTAATTATGCTTTATCCATGAGAATCCAGAAAAACAATGAGGTGAGTTGACTTTCCCAAAATCACCAAGCTAGTAATCACTGAGCACGTACTATGCGCCAAATACCAGGCCAATTGCTTTACAGCTATATTAGTCCATTCTCACATTGCTATGAAGAAATACCCAAGACTGGGTAATTTATAAAGGAAAGAGGTTT